GGGGGGGGGTTGTAAAATAAATGAAAGTACAGTGTACATGAAATCCACTCTTTGGCAACTTTTCAGATCCAATTGGTCATACAGGCCAAATGCCACGAAGGTTCAAATGGAATCATTTCGTTTGATGACGTGTCCTTGACGCCAGGTCCTTGCCCAGCCAGGGAAGAGAGTCACGGTTAGTGCGATGTATGCATACGTGTGATAATAGTTGTTCCTACATCCGATCCGGACATTTTGGACTGTCTTGTTAGTGAGACAACTTCCAGGGCCTTCGGCATACTGTGGTAGGGTGGCCAGTTTCTCTCCACGCCGCCTTTACTTCACCAACTTGAAGTCAGGTACCCATTACAGCTGGGTGGGAAGGAGGGGGCGAAAAAAAAAATCCGTGCCCGAATTCGAAGACGAGCGCACTACTATACGTGTGATATCGTGTTGAAATCAAAATAATGAAATCCAAGCAACCCCAATTTCTATCGAATTTTTTTTGTTTCGGGTTCAACACCTTTTATGTTCTTATGAAAACATATCCCTACGTGGATTTTATAATTAAAAATGTAAACAATAATTTGCAGTTTCCAAGGAAACTACAGCTTAGGAAGTAACTTTGGCGGTCATTTTCGCGCTAATTATGCCTTTGACACAAGGCGACCCCAGTGTGTTGAATGTGCATTTTTTTCATCAAATAGCGAGGCAGATGGACAGGCTGATTATACCAACAGTCATATATATATATATAAAAAAATTGACGAGTGTTTGATTCCACCTCGTTGTGACACATAATTGTGACAACTAATTTTTTCTCTTCTGACAGACAATTCAAACGCCTGTAGGCTAAACGGTTTGTGGTAACGATGTGTGACGTTTTTTCTTCTGTAATTAATAGGAAATAAGACTTTAGGTGTGGACGAACCTGAATCATAGACACTTTTCAAAATACATTATAAAATGATTTGTCTGTATGTACTGATCATCACAGTAGACATGTGTAATGTTTAAAGATTGAAACTTATACCTCAAAAGAAAATCTTGTTATAGGCTTTTGCATTTTGAAGAATTATTAATATACCATAATACTTTCCATTAAATATTTGAAGTTTGAACTCTGACTTGGATTATGGTTTTGAGAGTGAAGTGTTAAGTGCCGTTTTTAATAAAGAAAACATTAAGATTTGTATTTATTTGATAAGACTGTGCTATAGGCCATTCAATTTGTGAAAATCTCTTTATTTGCTCATACTTTTTCAGCTTGAGAATGAGAAAACCCAGACTGGAAGAGAAGACGGAACAGATGGCATAGACTCCCGTACTTAGAAAAGCAACCACACATCTTTGTTGAAGGAAATGGGAGTCTTGCAGCAATATAAATGGACTTTACCTTTTGTTTCATGGTGTTGTTTCCAAACACGTTTTGTGCAGTAGAAATAAAGTTGGACATGGATCCAGCACTAATACAAAATATCTTACTATTTGGTATAGGTTTAACACTCCATTTTTTAAAGAGACCTTAAGACACACGAACTAGATATAGCTACTGAAGGACTCAAAATTGACACCCTTGATGTTTCAGATAATGCTTCAGTACAACCATTTTTGTTGTTGTTATTACTGCAGAATCCCACGAAATAAAAACAATTATGTGAAAATACACACTTGTCAGTAGGCTTTTTTTGACCTTATCTTCCCATTGCAGGAAATTATAAATTTAGTAACATAACGAGTAACAACAAAAAAGAATCGCCGCCGTACCACGATTGAAGTACGCGTACACTGCGACGAAACAGGAAAGCAATCGAATAAAACACGTCACGCTTGTTCGTAAAAGGGGAGCAATCAAGAATAGAAATGTTGATGATTGTACAATACCGGTTAATTTCCTTGTCAGTTGACTCTCAGAAAGAATATTTGACTTTTTGTATTGATCACTTTTGAGAGAATGTTATGGTCTTGACACACAAGCAGGGTCTGTTTTGTGGGAGGGAGGGGGAGGGAGGGGGA